AAAATAAAGACTTGCAAATTGTGAAATTTATTAGGACAAACTGTGCAACGTTTCCTAATAAATAAACGTTTGTCCTAATAAATTTCACAATTTGCAAGTAAGATGGTGTGCGGGATTTTTCTTCATGTTCTTGGGTTGCTCCCTCTCCTCCGACGCACTCATCTCTAGTAATTGATGTGGAAGGCTCTCATTTTTTCAGAAAAATAAAGACTGGAATCGATCGATTGAAATCACAAAAATTTATTCCCTATACAGTACAATTCTAACGCAGAGCTCTGGGTCAGACCACTGTCCCTGATGGCCTTTTCTACACAGCTCTTACTTCAGGCAGTCTGAACACCTGCATCTGTCCCTTAACCCAGTATATATACATTCACAGAAATATGCAAATGATATGTTGATCAGGTTCACTCCTTGGATCCTCCCTGAAGCCTCTCCGTTTATGGGAATGACCGGATCTATTTAGGATTGGTGCCAGAACGTCCCCTCGTCAGCTGCTCTGTACAGAATTTCCTTAAAAAGACACAACCTACACAGCAGTTTCTTTAAACACATATATCAGATTTCAGTAGTTAAGCATTAATTGCGTGACTTCATTAACAACATTTAAACAAATATCCAATTTCAGTATTTAATAATTGCATGTGGTAAACTCACGACACTTTATTACTTGTTACGGCCTTCACTTTGTTTGAGCAGGTACAACAAATTTCAAAAACAATAGCAAAAATAGTGATATATACATGACATATTTGTTTTTATTATAAAATGCACTGTAGATTTTTGAGAAAATTAAAGGAATTTAAGTTGCCTTATAGTGTGAAAAATACAGTAGGTCAAAGAGTGTTCTTGCTGATGTTCTCCTTAAGCCTTCCTCCTTCCTCTTAAGCATCAGAGAGCGTCTCACTCATCGCTCATGTGGAGACTTCAAGAGCAACACAGAGTTTTATTACAATTGTTTATTTGTTACTTGAATTTTGCACTTCAACATCAAAGTCTTTTCAAACTGTTCAAAAAGTCACTGATATGAAAATGGCAATAAATGTTGAACCAAATGATGCTCAAAGCATTTTATAATGCAATCCAACAGGACACGAGTAAAGACCCTTGGTAAATAATATGGACACATTCCCAAAGACAAAAGTTCAGTGTCCGGTGAACAGATACTCTCCTTCACAGTGATATTCACCAAAACACCAATCCCGCCGCCCTTCTTTCTGACCGCTGAGGAGAGTGTCTCTGTCCACACACACACACTCTTAAAGCCTGGTACAGATGCACTGTTGTCCGGGAAGTTCGTATGAAGCCAGGTCTCCGTGAAGCACATGATACTGCTGACAGCGCACTCCCTCTGGGTCCCAACAAGTGCACACAGTTCATCCGTCTTATTTCCCAGTGACCTTACGTTCCCCATCAGGACTGACTGAACCGCACGCTTGAATTTCCTTCTCCGCTGTTTCACTTTCACTCCAGCTCGGCATCCTCTGCCCTTCCTCCTCCGTAGTTCCACAGGGACGTCAGGCTGAGCTCCAAACAGCACTGGGGCCTTGGACAGTGAAAGAAGGAAAACACAACAGGCCGAGTGCACTGCAGGGCCACACAGCGAAGAACAAAGAGGCCACCAAGGATCAAGGAAAAATACAAAACCGACCAAAAAACACTGGAGAATCTTTTATTGGATGAATAAAGTAAATTAAAAAGAAAAAATCTTAAAGTGCAAACAAGAATAACTTTCAAGATGACCCTGCTGCCTCTCTCAGGTCCTCAGGGTGTTTGATTAAAGTGTGTTTTACAAATGAAGACATTATTTTAAGTTTAAAAGAGAATCTACGGCACAAAACTGTATAATACGTGTTCTTTAGAATATACTAAGATACAAAAATATAAAGTGACGTTGTAAGTCTTTGGTTGATTTCAGATGTTCCCTGTGGGTTTCGTGTGATGTGGGCGGTTGGACCTGTGTGTGCAGTGGCTTTACTCTCTCTGCTGCTGCTTCTGTGGCGCCACAAAACTAAAGGTAAAAAACGATTGTTATTAAAGCCCCACCGATATATCAGCTGCCGATATTATCAGATTAAAAGGACACTTGTTAGTGCAGACTTGTGATGTGAGAGAAGTGTGTGTGTGTGTTTGTGTGTGTGTGTGTGTGTGTGTGTGTGTGTGTGTGTGTGTGTGTGTGAGCGTGTGTGTGTGTGTGTGTGTGTGTGTATGTGTGGTGTGTGAGTGTGTGTGTGAGTGTGTGTGTGTGAGTGTGTTTTTGTGTATGTGTGTGTGTGTGTGTGAGTATGCGTGTGTGTGTGTGTGTGTGTGTGTGTTGTGTGTGTATGTATGGGTGTGTGAGTGTGTG